TTGGAGGAAGAGAGTAGTATGATGATTAGCAGAGGCTGGGAAGGATAAGAAGAAGGAGGGGATGAAGGGAAGATGGTTAATGGGTACAAAAATGTAGTAAGATAGAAGGAATACGTTCTAGTGTTTGATAGCATTGTAGGATGATATAGGTATCAAGAATTTGTTGTATATTTCAAACTGTAAATAACAAGATGTAGCTTGGTCTTTTCAACTAGTTACTGGGATTTAGTAATATGTTGTAAATAATTGACATATTACTATTTATGTTGTAAATAATTGACATAACTACTCTGAAGTCCATTACTTTGGTTTTAATATTTAAGCCACTGTTTAGGAAACCCGATCTCTCCACTCCCTCATGGTCATCCCATGTATAAACATCCTGGAAGCAGAGAGGCTCTGTTGCTTGTAGGAACTCACTAGAGCCAACATTCTCTCCATTCTCGAGTTTTGTTATTGTTTGGTTGAGGTATAATGTATTATTTAACATATGTTTAAAAGAATTTACTGTATATTTCAAAAGACCCAAAATAAATATTTGAAACGTTTCCAACACAAAAAAATAATAAATGCTTCAGGTGATGGATATCACAATTATACTAATTTAATAATTACACCTTATATGCTTGTATCCAAATATTACATGTACTCCATAAATATGCACAATTATTATGTATCAATAAAAATGTAAAAAGTCTATTTTTAAAAAAGAGCAATTCATTATTGGTTATCATTAAAATGTTTATGCCAATATATTTTACAATTTATATAAATACATAATTTATATACAGTATTCAAAACTGAGTTTATTAAGTGTTACACAATAAGAAAAAAAAAACCAAGATAGTTTTATATCAATTAAAAAATTGAGCTTATTATTAGAAACCTTCCCACAAAGAGAATTCTGGGCTAGAAAATTCCCGCAATGAATTCTTTAAAACATTTAAGAAAAAAAAAAAATCTTACTTTACACAAATTCTTCCACAGAATAAAAAAAGACAAAATATTTCCACACTCATTTGATCAGGACAGCATTACTACTTTAATATCATAAATTGGAAAAAGACTTTACAGGAATGAAAAATTACAGACAAATCTAAAGTAAGTAGGGTGTATTCCAGAAATGTAGTATTAAGCTAATATTTAAAAATCAATTTATCTCATTAGCTGAGCAAAGCAAAAAATTATGATTTTCTCATTGGATGCAGAAAAATATTTTAAATATTGATTATTCATTTATAACAAGAAAAAAACAGAAAATTAAAATTAGAGGAGAACTTCCTTGGTCTAATGTAAAGAATCTACAGAAAAAATCTTTTGCAAATAGTATATCACTGGTAAAAATTAAAGCTTTTCCTTGGTTATCAACAAGAAGACTTAGATGTCCAATATTACACTTTATTCAATATTGTACTGGTGTCCTAATCAGTCTAATAAAAGCACATAAATGTCATTAGTATTATAAAGCAATAAAACTTATTGTTTGATATACTATTTTGCATACAGAAAAATATCTATTACAATAAACTAGTGAACTTAAAAGTTCATTATATACATATAAACACTTTTCTATATAATTACAATGCATAGGCAAAATAAAAATGTAGAATGATACTATTACCAGCAAATTAATTTAAAAAACATTAATCTAACAAAAGATGTCAAAGACCTTTACAATGAAAACTAAAAACCGTTATTTAGAAATATTAAAGATGCCTCACATAACTTGTAATTACATTCCTATTCCTTGGTAGGAAGCTTCATTATTATAAATATGTCATTTCTCTCCAAATGAATGCATAGATTTAATGTAACTCTAATTGTAGCAAATTTTCTCGTGGAATTTAACAAGTAGTTCTAAAATGTATATGAACATCCAGAGTTCTAAAAATAGCCAAGGGATTCTTGAAGAACAAAGCTGAAGAATTTACCTTGCCAGAAGTTAAGTATAACGCTACAGGAATTAATGCACGGAGCATCAGGATAGACCCCCATCCCCCAAAAGGGGAAAGTCAAAAACCAGATTAAACACATATGGTCACCTGATTTATGATAAATGTGATACTGCAGTGCAGTATAGAAATATATTTTCAATAAATTATAGTGGATCATTTGGTCATCTATTTGAAAAAATAAATATTGATCTATCTTATAGCATACATAAAAGTCAATTATAGATGAATTAATGTTCTAAATGTGAAAAGTCAAAGCTTTTAGAAGAAAACATAGGAGAATTTCTTTATAACCTTTGTGGAGGAAAGTGTTCTTAAATAGAATACAAAAAAATCATATCCATAATAAAAAATTGATACATTGGATTATAGCAAAATAAGAACAACTGTTCATTAAAGCTCTCATAATGAGAATAAAAAGGCAAGTTCCAGAGTAGAAAAAATTTGGAACGAACACACACACACACACACACACACACACACACACACACACACACACACACAAATCTTATATCCAGACTATAATAAAGAGACATATAACTTAGCAGATAAATGAGAAAATATTTGAATAGACATTAAAGAAACAGAATATCCAAGTGGCTAATAAATAAATCAAAATTGTTCAACTTCGTTAGTCATCAGGAAAAGGAAACAACAACAACAGCAACAACAACAACAACAATAACACAATGCTGTACTGCTATTACTGTTATGCATCCACTAGAGTGGCTTGGCTAAAATGAGAGAGAGACAACACGGAGTGCTGTCAAGGATGGGGGATTATTGTAACTCTTGTACATTGCTGATGGGAATGTGAATTGGTAAAACCACCATGAAAAATCATTTGGCAGTCTCCCAAATTTGAGTATGAACAGGGCTACTTATGACTCAGCAATTCTTTCCTTGGTGAAGAACCAGCAAAATAGTTTATGTATGTCCATGAAAAAAATATGTACAAGCATGTTATATTCACAGTCCCAAGCTGGAGAAACCTAATGTTAATAATAATAGAAAAAAATATTGTGGTATATTCTTACAGCAGAATTCTATGTAGCAATGAAAATAAGTGAATTGTCACCAAACACAACATTGGTCATTCTTACATACATGATATTGCATGAAGGAAGCCAGGCACATAGGGTATTCAGTGAATGATTCCATATATACAAAATTTGGAATCAGGCAAAATCAATCTGTAGCTTTTGAAATCATATAGTTAATTGCTTCTGCATTCAAGTGGCATGAAGGATACTTCCGGGTGCTGCATATATTCTGTTTATTTGGGGGCTACACAGCTGTGTTCTTGTGACCATTCCAAGAGTTGCACCTTTACCATTTGTGAACTTTTCTGTGTGAATGTCATTTCAAAAAAAGGTTACTCAAACTTTCTTCCAAAACACAACTATAAAAATAAAATACAATGGTTAAAGAGAGTGCAAGAGGATAAATTATAGCCATATTTTACTTATAAAGATAGATTCAGAAATTCTAAAATAATTAGAAGGTTCATTTTATTAATTTACTAAAACAAAGATAGCATGATTAAATAGAGATTTCCTTAGGTATGACAAATGCTTAATTATGAGAAAACGAGGGAAGAGAATTAGTTTAGGGGAATTTGTACAGGAACATCAGATAGGGCATAAGGCTAAGATTTTATAAAGTTAACTGATGAGTATAGAGGTGGTTATTTTACTGTTTTCTATTTTTTTTTTGCGTTGGAGTCTCACCCTGTCACCCAGACTGGAGTGCGGTGGCACGCTCCCGGCCACCGCAGCCTCGACCTGCTGGGCTCAAGCAATCCTTCCTCCTCAGCCTTCCAAGGAGCTGGAACTACAGGTGTGCACTACCACGCCTGGCTAATTTTTTGATTTATTGTAGAGACAAGGTCTCACCAAGTTGCCCAGGTCGGTCTTGAACTCGCGGGCTCAGGCAATTCACTCACCTCGGCCTCCCAAAGTGCTGGGATTACAGGCTGAGCCACTGAGCCCGGCCTGTTTTCTGTTTTTTATGTTTGAAATGTTTCATAATAAAATACAGAAACGTATCTACTCATTAGTTTATTTATAATACCTTATATTATTAGAGTAGAAAAAAATCAGTTGATATTTCAATAGTATTAAAAATTCAACAAAACTAAATATGTGCTTTTTGTAAATAAACTCAGCAAATTAGATATACAAGGGGAAAGCCTTCAACTTGCTGAGAAAAATATGATAAATTCTACAGTGTATATAATATCAAATGTTGGAACTATGGAGCATTCTCATTAAAATAAAGAGCAAAAACAAAAAAAGGATGCTTATTATCCTTTTTTTTTATTGAGTTGGAATCTCACTCTGTCGCCTAGACAGGAGTGCAGTGGCATGCTCCCAGCCACCGCAGTTGGGCTCAGGTGATCCTTCTGCCTCAGCCTTCCAAGTAGCTGGAACTACAGGCGCACGCTACTACGCCCAGTTAATTTTTTTTTGATTTATTGTATAGACAAGGTCTCACCATGTTGCTCAGTCTGGTCTCAAACCCACAGGCTCAGGCAATCCTCTCGCCTTGGCCTCCCAAAGTGCTGGAATTACAGGCTTGAGCCACCGCACCCGACCCTTGTTATCCTTTTTCATCCTTCCAACCTTATTCTGGAGATCTAAGTCAATGAACAAAGCACAATAAAACAGGACATAATGTTAACATTTTATAAAGTTGCGTGATGTATGCACAGGGAATCATCTTGTTTTGTATTCATTTCTGTATGTTTGAAATATTTTAAAATAAAATAAAAGGTATTATACATCATTATGATTTGTGTGATGTTTAAAGTTAGCAACACAGCAAGTGTTATTTATATGATAGTATTTATTATATTAACAGCAAACGTTGTAGGAGAAACTATAATATTTGTTCAGTAGGCCAGGATTTAAAAAAAAAAAAGCCATCTTCCAGATCTTCTTATAGACTTCAATCCATAGTGTCAAACAGGCAAATGATTGGAGAGGCACATAGCACACACAAAGCTTTTTTCATAATGGTGAGCAAATACTGAGACGTGGATTTCTGTCATAGGGTCCAGGTTACGTGATGTGTTTGGACTTGTTTGTTTGGAGTATCCTTCTTTGAATTCGTGGGGTACACATGGACAATGCTATGAGGTATTGTAGTGCATTCTGGTAATGAAGATTCCTTACAGTCGTTGGCAGATTTATGAATGTTCAGGCAGCTACAGCTTTTGGTGAACTGCATGCACTCCAGGACAGAGAGGATTCCTGGGGAAAAGAGGAATCCTTTTCAACTACCCAAAGCTATCAGGGAGGGGGATGTTTTAGTGTGAGAAACTGGAAGTGAATAAACAATACCTTAAATGCTCAGCTCATGAATGGAAAAAAGGCATTACTTATTTCTGGGCTAGGAAGGGCAATCGCAAATGAAATTTTAGACACCTCATAGGAAGGGAAAGATTCTGGTTTTGGTGGATGGCCATTTAACATTAGATATTGTTTCTCTCTGCCCTCAAACTGCCTTGACACTGCACTGTAGTCTCAGGGTCACTATCCCTCTCCACATAATTGAGCATTTTGTCTCAGTCACTCTCCTTGGTCATGACTTTGATAGTTAGCTCTGCCCTAAAATTGGGGAGCATGTGAAAGACAAGGAAAAAAAAAAGGTAGTGATGAAGAGCTTCCCTCCGAGGCAGGCTCACCAGGTCAAAAGCCTGACCTTCAGCTCTTTGTTAGATAAACTGTCTTTAGAGAATGAATCCTGCTGAGCTGTATGTTTTCAAAATGCAAGATTGAGTACCCTTTCCTTCATTCCCCTATCCCATCCTTTTACCTTTCCCTCTGTCGGGTAGATTGGTTCTTAATAACCCTCAAGGACCCACTCACCACAGACAAAAAGGATGAAAACGTTTAAGAAGGCAGTGAAAGTGATCCAGGTGATCTTGTAACTAGCGAAGTACACGGATTGACCTTGCTTCAGCTTATGGTAGTATTGTAGGAGTGCGCAGAGCAGAAGGGTACCTGATATCCAGACAAAAGGAGAAAAAATTTCCTTCTGAGGAACTGGGGCTCTTTAACTTGAGTCTTCATTCAAAAAACACTCGACTTCCCAACCTCCACCCTGTCCAGCTGCACTTCGTCCAGAGATGGATCCTGCTTTAGTGGTAGGTCTAATGCTGAAGTTGCATGTATACACATGTATATCTGATTCACAGAACTTGGGAAGCCAGCTAGTTTAGAGACTGCAGCCTGGACCTACTGAGCAAGTACACTTCCAAACCTGTGTTAGGAGAGCCAGCAAGTTACCTGAGAGGAAATTGAGGATGACAGCGATAACATGGACAAGTTTGTTTTGAGGAATCATATAGGTGAGTTTCAAACCCTGCATCAAGTTAAGGAAGAAGGAAAAGCCAAGGGCCGAAATCATCATAATCCTGATCACTTTCAGGTTATCTGTTGGAAAGTAGAAGCTGTATTGAGAGAAGGACAAATATTTCTTCTGGGCTCATTTCCACCTGGGGTTCACAAATAGTTAGGTAAATATGGGAATAGGGTAGAAGATTTGGTTAAATAATAATGAAAGTAGATAGGAAAAAATAAGGAGGCAGGGAAACAAGTTGAATGAGAGAGAACCAGAAGAAATTGTTCTCTAGATGTTTCTATAAGCTTGTTTCTCAGACGAATTTCTTGTTAGACAGCCCAATTCACCCTGGACTCTTTTACTTATTTTGTGAGACAGAGTCTTATTGTGTTACCCAGGCTGGAGTGCAGTGGAACGATCATGGTTCACTGCAGCCTTGACCTCATGGGCTCAGGAGATCTTTCAGCCTTAGCTTCTTGAATAGCTAGGACTACAGGCACATACCACCATGATAGGTTAATTTATTTTTATTTTTTGTAGAAACAAGGTCTTGCTATATTGCCCAGGCTGGTCTCGAACCTCTGAGCTCAAGTGATTCTCCTGCCTCAGCCTCCTGGTGCTGGGATTATAGGCGTGAGCCACTGCACTTGGCCTCACCCTGTACTCTTTTAGTGGTAATATAGCCTATTTTCCTTCTTGCTAATTACCTTTCTTTTATATCCCTCACGTTCTAGTTGTGCTGACCACCCTGCTGCTACTTCTAAGACTTCTCAAATGCTCAGCAATTAAGTCTGTGAGCATATAAACTTTTCTCCCAAGGACTTAAATGGTGATATTTTAGAATCTGCCTTCACTATGTTGACTATGGAAATGGGCACACTGCGACTTGAGAAAGTGGTGCCAGAAGGTAATGGGCAAACTGGTGAGATGAATGAAAGTCAAGGAAAGATGAACCCTTCCTCTCCACCCATCTCCTCCTATAGATAGTTCTGACCTTCTGGCCAAAGAGTAGTGCAGCACACCATCCATGGACTGTGGATCTTCTTGATTTTTTTGTTTTCTGAAATCAATATGACCCATTCTTTCATGATGATTCCTATTGCCAAAAAGAATACGGTCCAGGAAGACAAGAATGTGTTCATGACCTGGATATTTCTGTTTGAAATATGCACCATTGTGAGTGGAGATTTATAGCTGAGACCACTACCAATATTTTATAATTCTCTTCTCTGATTGATTAGTCATAGGAAAAAGGGGTAAAATCTGAACTACTGAGGCATTTGCAGTGGCAGTAGTTGAAGTGGCCTACAAAGCAGAAAAGATAACTCCTAGTCTTTACCACTTCAATAACTGTCAGAGCCCTCCTGCTATCAGGATTGCCAACTGCCATGGAATCATCTATTGGTTTGACCTTTGACCCTGGGACCTAGTATGTGGAAGAACAAAGGGGCCCAGAAGTCCAGAGAGAACTATCAGATATATAGGGAGAACTGACATCACCTATAACGAAAACTGCCAAACACAGGGATAACTAGAGGCATTGGAAGAAGGTAGATATGAATGATTAAAGAGGTTCAATTGTGGTAGGAGTCAGTGAAGAGGAGAAGGATTTCAAAATCATTCAGATGAATTGTCAACTGGCTAGTAGCACAAAAGGGAATGGTTATTCAAAGCATAGGATGTTTTGAAGAAACTTGTGTCCTCATTGGGAGGACCCAATGAAGCAAATAAACCAGTGACCTGAAACCAAAGAACTGGCCTGATATACCGATCCATCGAAGTCCAATATTATTTCTAAGGCACAGGCAATCATTTCTTGTCAAAATTGCCTTTGTAACTTGGCAGAAAAGACATATTTGGATTCCTTGAATAGGCAGCCGTGGTATGGCTCAGGGTCAGAAGACTTCTACTGAAATAAAAACGAACACTCAAAATGCCTTTTACTGAGCTAAGATAAAAATCATCTCCAAAGGATTTATTCTTCCTATTTTTTTTTTAATTCATTACAGAACAGTTTCTTCGGGTTAAAATGAACTTTTTTCATTACCTCAAGCATGCCAAGGTGTCTTTCAGACCTCTCTACACATCTTTTGAAATGATTATATTTTATCATTTTCATTTTTAGAAATAATGATCATATATTTAATCTTACAAAAGAGACTTTATGATTAAGAAAATGAACTCTGGATGCTAGGTTTAAATCCTGGCTCTACCATTCAGCAGCTTTGTGGTCTTAGAGATAATAATGCTTTCTACTACATAAGAATCTTGCAAAGATTAAATACCCTTCAAAACGGTAAAGCACTTGAGTTTCTGGCACACAGCAAATGATCTGTTAGCAGTTATATGGTATTATTTTGGGTTTCCTAGGAAAAGACCCTGAGGCAGAGATTTGTATGAAGGGAGTTTTTTTGTTGAAGCACTCCTGGGAACCACACCTGTGTTTAAGGGAAACATGTTTGGGCCGAAGTTGAACTGAAATGCAGTTGCAATGAAAGAAACCTTAGCTGACCTCACCAGGAGCTCTGGGTCTGCGGTGGTTCTTCAGTCATCCTGAATAGAGGTGAGACCAGGCTTTACACTGTTACTGAGTATAGGCTGTCCTTGGGATGGTATCTCTCTTCAGTCTCAAAGGCAATTCCAAAATCTCTCAGAAACTGCATACCACAGCAGTCAATGCTTCTGGTGGCTGTGGGAATGAGTTCCAACCCCTCACCATTCCCATATCAGGGCTAGCTTGTGGCTAAGGCAGCCAACTGACCCTTGACTTTGGGACCCAGTGTAGTGGAAGAATCAAGAGGATATATAGGCAACTTCTATTATTATATTTTTTCATGTTGGTTATTTTATTTCTATGCCGTAGATTCTTAGGAATAGGATTCCTGGGTTGAAAGATTTATGTCTCATTTTAGTTTTAATAGGTAGTGGCAGTAAAGATTCAAGAAATAACCAAACTAGAGAAAGAGATAGGATGTGAGGAATATTTGTTTGTGTCACTAGAAGGACTATTTTTTTTTGTTGAACATACATTTACTTACTCTCTCTTTTTTTCTTCTTCATCTGGCTTATTAGAGGGGTTAGCTGTTTTGTCGGTCTTTTCAAAGTTCATTTATTTATGTATTTATCCATCTGGAAATTTTATTTTCAATATTGTATTTTATTATTTTACATTTTTATTTTCACTATTGTCCTTTTTCTTTTGTTTTTGCCTTTATCTTTTAAACTTCTTAAAATAGTTTTAGTTTTCAATTCTTCTTAATATGTCAGAATTTAAGGCTATATGTTTTTAGGCATCTAGTTTGCTATGTTTCATATATTTTCTATGACTTCCTACTCTGTTTCTTATTAGATAATTTAAAATTTTAGTTTTGATTTCACTGTGACTTCAGAGATTATCTAGGATGGAGTTTCTTAACTACCAAACAGCTATGAATCTTAGATCACCATTTAAATTTTTTTCGTTTGTTAAAAAAAAGAAATATAATAAAAATATACCTTGAAATATTTACTTTTTGAATTTGTTAGGGTTTTCTCTGTGGCCAAGCACATGATTAATTTTGACTATTTCATGGACTAATGAAAAAGTAAAATTCTTCTGCAAATAATGAACTTTCTGTATGATGAAAAGTTTTACCAATCAGTTGTTTATTGATTTGCTCAATTCCTCTATGTTTTAATCTACTAGAATATTTCTGATTTAGAAACAGGTGTGTTTTTAGATCTCTTTATGACTGTCGTTTAACTAGCTTTTCTTTTCCACTGTATGGTGAAAAACTATACCCATATACATACTATAACAAATACCCATATATAAATTATAACTGTCTTTTTTTCACCTTTAGATTTTTTTATTTTAAAATTATGGGTTATGCTGGGCTCGGTGGCTCAGCCTGTAATCCTGCGCCTTTGGGAGGCTGAGGTGAGCGGATTGCCTAAGCCTGCGGGTTCGAGACCCGCCTGGGCAGCGAGACCTCATCTCTACAATAAATCAAAAATCAGCCGGGCGTGGTAGCGCGCGCCTGTAATTCTGGCTACTCGGAAGGCTGAGGCGGAAGGATCGCCAGAGCCCAGTGGGTAGAGGCTGCGGTGGCCGGGAGCGACCACTGCACTCCAGTCTGGGCAACGGAGTGAAACTCCAACTCAAAAAAAAAAAAAAAAAAAAAAATTATGGGTTACAATTCAGGGTTAGGTATACAAATATTCATTGTCCGGGTACCATTGTTGATAAGGTGTGCCTCCCCTTCCCCAGGCAGATTCCCACTACTGCCAATCCCACTTTCCCACCCCTCCACACCTCGCAGTTTTCTGCTACTGTCAATCCTTTTCTTATAGTATTATGATCATTTTGTTTTGATTACAGATCATATATATGAAGTCTCTTGATTTCAGTATGCCAATTTTATATTCCAATTGCCTCCTGAATTTTTTTTTTTTTAGATTGGAAAATATGGTTTATTTAGAAAGTAAATGAGAGAGAGAACGAGAGAAGAGATTCACCTCTTCAGGGAGGTGGGAGTGGGGGAGGGGTGGACAAAGTTTAAGAAACATGTTGGCAGCCATAGCTCAAAGAGCACATGGCCACACCAGAGTTTAGAAAAGCCTACTGAATTTTTATTGTTATTCTCTCATTGGAAATTATTTTGTTTATTCTTTTAGATTTTCAGGTTATATATTTATATGTTCTTAGCAAAGATATAATTTTACCCGCTTCATTATAATCCTTAAGCCTCTAAGCTGACTCCACTTGATTCTTGGATTTGTCAAGACGTACACATGGTTAAATAGTGGTGGCAATAGTAGATTTCTTTGTCCATGTCCTGACTTAATTGGAACAATGTTTCCCCATTATGTAACATGCACTTTATCTTGTTAAGGAAATAGCCATTGATTTCTATCTTATTTAATTAGAAAAAAATCAGATTAGATGTTGAATTTTGTTAAATGACATTTTGATATCTATATAGAAAACCATAAATTCAACTTAGATCTATTAATAAATTAATTCTATTAATGGAGTTCCTATAATGTATAATTTTCTACCCCTGCAATAAATCTCACTTGGTTATACATATATATATATATATTTTTTTAATTGGAGTCTCACTCTATTGCCTAGACTGGAGGGCAGTGGCACACTCATGGCCACCACAGTCTCGACCTGCTGGACTCAAGTGATCCTTCCGCCTCAGTCTTCCAAGTAGCTGGAAAATAGAGGCATGTACCCCCACACCCAGCTAATTTTTTGATTTATTTTAGAAATGAGGTCAGGCAGTCTCTCACCTCGGCCTCCCAAAATGCTGGGATTATAGGCATGAGCCACTGTACCCGGCCTATACATATTATTCTTTAATGTTCAATTAACACTTTGTTTTTAGTATTTTTGCATTGTTAGGTATAGTTATGTAATTTTGGGGAGGGAGAATGTCAGTTTTTAAAGAAATGTAATATTCATTTCAACACAGGACTATGAAAATGTTCCTTTATTTTCTATGCTCAGGAACTGTTTGTAGTATTGGGGTTACCAGTTCTCAGAGTTGTGGTGAAACTCTTGTACAAAATCCTCTGTGACTGTTGCTTTTATGAGTAGTAGCTTATTGGTAAATTTTCCCTATGTTTTAAACGAAAAATTATGTGTTTAATTAACTCTATATTTATAGAGGTCATTTTGATAACTTTTTTTTTCTTTCAATTTTTCACCTGAGTTCTCTCCGTTTCTGTTTTACAATTACCTAATGTCTATTAATTTTTATTCTGTTTTTAAAAAATAAATTCTTAATGGGCTTTAGTAATATATTTTTAAAAATCATGTTCATTTTATAGTTTATATACAATAAAACCCACCCTTCTAAGTGTACAATTAGAAGATATTTTGATAAATATATGCAGTTGTATACCACTATGATAATTAATACACAGAACATTTGTATCACCCTGAAAAATTTCCTCATTTTGTTGTCAATCTCCTTCCCCACCTTCACCTTCTGGCAAACACTATCTGGTTTCTGGTTTTATAGATTTGCCTTTTTTAGACTTTCATTTAAAATTTGGATCATGCAAAACGTAGCTCTTTGTATCAATCTGCTTTCACTTTGCAAAAGATGTACTTTCCAGTTGCATTCATGTTGTTAGACACTTATTTATTTATTCATTTATTTATTGCTAAATGAAATTTCAC